TATGTATTATTTTTTTTTGTCTATCACTTGCCTTCAGGTATAAAGCAAAATTAAGATTAAATTTGTCACCAACTGCTGAACTTTTTTTTTCCCTCATTTTTGAAAATATTTTGTGTATTTTTCCGGTAAATTTACTTTGTCGAATCAATGAATGCGTAGAAGTGTAATGGTTTATGTACTTTCTCCTCTCAGAAATCCTCATAAGAACACATCCCTTTCAAACCCCGGTCCCCATACGATCTCCAAAGTTAAGCAACGTTGAGCTTGATCAATACCTAGATGGATGACCGCTTGGGAATACCAGGTGCTGTAAGCTTAGATATACGGCTGTTATAATGGATTGGAATTAAAAATCGGAGAGCCGAATTCCAATTCCAGTTCGTTTCGTTAGTCACTTACACGCAATTATCATTAGGAAAGGTATGAATCATCTATTTCTCCTGAGTTATGGATTGATGTTTAATACTTCTATGACTAAACAATTGTCTCGAAAACAGATTTCGACAATCTCTAAATATTCCCCCGGCTTTAATGAGTAGCAAATGTTTGATAAAACTTAGAAAACGAATCGATTAATAAATCCACACGAGTTATGAGTTTGCTATATAGGAATAAAGTGTCGCTGTCGACACTTGAGTTTGAACATTGATCGCCAGTGAGTAAACATTGGCGATCCCATTATTGAATTAAGTGGATCAGGTGACAATAGAGGAAATGCATGTATAGGAAGACGCTTGACGTCCAGATTGATTTTTTTTTTTTTTTTTTTTGCTATCCTCTATTATACGGACCGCTTTGGGCACCTCGAGGAGGTGTAATGGTTAGCAAACTTGTCTCGCTAGAACAATTACGACTGGATAGTGAGTTGGATCCTCACTGGGTGCCCCATACTTTTGGCCTTGTTCCACATCTAAGCTACGCCTGGAAAATAATTACTATACGGACCGCTATTCTCTACTCTATTCACTATACTATTTCTCAGTTCAGGTCATTATGCGTTGGTTACTATTCGTGCGACTATTATCGAGCAAGTACTGTTACAGTGTAATCCGGATATAAGAGTTGTAGAGACCGGAGAAGAAGTCTCTTATATCCGGGTTTCTCGTATATCCGGGTCACACTGTAGTACGATTGATATTCGAAGGCGGCTGATACCAGTATCTTTCTGCTGCGTATTATAGCTCTATTTGCGAATACCATGCCTCTACTATAACGAACATGAAAAGTGAAAACTAGTATTTGTTGATATCACAAAAATCGTTAATGAGACTTGTATCAGGAAAATCTTTTATCTCGAAAATATAAAATAAAATTGCCTAAAAAATATTTAGGTTTCGCCATTGAATAACCCGAAGAGGTTGATATTCCGTTAAATAAAAACAACCAACTAAACGACTGTTTCAAAATGCAGGTAGATTTTTTGGCGTTTTAGGACTATTATAGGATGTCTATCTGTGAATCGTTTTACGCAATATTCTCCCTATGATTTGCTTTACACGAAATTACTTACATACCATCAGGTTCGCGTCATTTTGCGACCGTATTACTGAAACTTTAGAATGCAATTATTCTTTTCCTATTCAACCAATTATTTTATAGATGTTGTTGTAGCGCTGGCGCAAAAAGAATCAATAATACTTGTGACTTAAAATCACGCTTCATAATTGAATGATTTTTTCGTCGTTTAATATCTGTTTTAGATCTACCGAAATTCAGCTTTGCTGTTTGGAAATGTTTTAAAGTCATCATTTTCAACAGACAGAAGAATTGTCAACTATCAGTGTCTAGTAGCAGATCCACAATATGCAAGTATGTATCGATGGAAATATCCTTTTTAGAAACTCGGGCTGTTACATTTGCTTAAGTATCTAAAAGTACAATTGAAGATAAAGCAACATCCTAAGAATATATTCCCATTGTTCTTGAAGATAGTATTATTATTATTTTACTCTTAAGACTCAAAATAGCTATTTAAAACATTAGAACTAGAATAAAAGTACTGGTGTTATCTACCATGAATCCATCATAAAAATCTGGATGTGGAATAAATAAATAAATAGTAAACTCTTTAGATACCTCGGCATATGGTTCAGTCGTAACAAATTAAGTATAGGAAAAAAATTCGAAATGGTTGCGCCACATGTTGTTATGCTCAACCTCGCAAATCGATACAAATCCAAGGCCTGAAAACGAGCAATATTCGTAATTAACCTCGGCAGATAGATATTCAAATGTAAAGGGCACAACACACGCTTAGAAAAAAACGTTTCTTAAGATCAATAGTGTAAGAAGTGGCTGAGTGAAATCTAAGGTTCTTGGCATAGATCATCCATCTTTGTACATTGTTAATGTCGCTATAGATTCTCAAACAAGAAGTTTGCCATGTAACATAAATAACATCACTTGAGGTCAACCTACAGCAGAAAACTGAAATGGATAGTACATTTGAATCGAAAAGATAATAATGTCATAATCACGATGTTGATCTTCCACACAATTATAAATGAAGGCTTCGAAGGAAACACTGTCAATCCTGGAACGAGTGATAAGACTGAGAAATGACTTCTTGAAGACGTGTCTCAATAGTAACATTTTATATTATCTTTTTTTTTTGTTTTTGTTTTAAACGCTAGCAATAATGGATGCTCACTCAATGCTTCCTACTAGTTAAACGTCTTACATTACCATTACGTGACAACCGATATTTTAAAATACAAATTCCTTCAGTCTCTGTCTATAATTCTGTGATGAGGTATTATGTACACTATTTACATTATTCGAACTATTGCCCTCATCTTTGTCGCCATATTTATTACAACGTTTCTGCCATTGTATGCCCCGGCGTTCCTTAATCGGAATTACCGAAAAATAACTGATAACTGACGTCCATTAAAACATGGTACGTGGAACTAGAACAGTCTACCCCAGTGAGCGAAATAAAGGGGTCAGTTCGACATTCCAACCACCTGAAGAAGGCCGAAACGTTGTAATATGGCGACAAAGATGGACAATAGTCCGAATAATGTAAATAGTGTACAAATTCCTTGTCAAAATTTTTTAAAAAAATCATTTTATAATATTTATGTGAATAAAATCCAAATTTAAGTATATGTAGATTCTTCGTACGCATCTTATACAGTCAGACTAAGGTCTTCAGATATTCTGCCCTGTCGCCATATTCATGTATCGGGAGATCCCCGGAATATTCAGCAAATCTTAAAATGGAGGTAGAATGTTCTCATTCCTCTGTCTATATCTAGACATAGCTACTATTGTTTATTTCTATTCAGTTAGAGCTCATCCTGTTTCTGCTGAATATGTGTTTATATTACGATGTCCAGAGATTAAACTCGCAGGTATAATGCCAGCAGATTCAAACAACCAACGTTCTAATCCTCTGTTGCTGAGTAGAAAGAGATCAACCTCCCACTGTAGATTAAATAATTAGTTCAGTTCGAAATTCTCTTAAGATTTTTCGGATTGATGTAAACGAAAATTCCTGAGAACAATAATGATAATGTTGCGTTAATAATACCAATGGTAAAAAAAATATAATGCGACGGAAAAAAGAAAAATCTAAAGTGGTTAATATCCGTCACAGAAATTCATGCGAAGAAACGCTGATTCGTATAGTTAAATTTGTGAATCTTTGTATATATTCACATATACTAGGACATTTTTAAGTGAATTATTACAGATAGAATGGTAATGCTGGAAAATAACACCTTAAAGTAATACTGCGAATCAGAAAGATACAAATGAAATATATAGTGTACATTATAAGAAGAGATTGGCTGATTCGTTTTCTGCAGTTTTCTAACTCATTGCATGTTATTTAAAGACAAAATTTGCTGTAGTTTGCAAGATTTTTTTTTTCTTTTGATAACTGTTTAGCGATAAAATTTTACTCATTGACTGTCACTTTGGGGAGATAAGGTGGCTTTATACTTTTCCAAAGGATATTAGAATAAGCGAATATAACGAACCCAACGGGATTTGGGACTCGGAACTCCGATTAAAATTTCATACCAATATCCATTACACAAAATATAAATCCAAGCTTACAGCACATGGTATTCCCAAGCGGTCGCTCATCTAGATATACCAACCAAGCTCCAAGTTGCTTAACTTCGGTAATCTTACGGGAACGGACGTTTCAAATAAGATAGGTGTAATCATTTATAGTATATGAAAAACTATATATATATATATATATATATATATATATATATATATATAATGAAAAACTAGGTAATCCGTATGGGCAAACCTAAGGACGATAAAATCCAGAGAGCTCTCTCTCTATCTATCTCTATATATATATATATATATGTATGAACAAAGATTTTGGAAAATTTTTGTCTCTTGCCTTCAACATGTCCTGGTAGTGGATGAGGAAAGAATCAAATAACAAAACTAAGTTTTGCCAGAATAGGCTTAGAGGATACAACAAAAACTCATATTCTTACCATAATTAGGTGATGATATATCATCTATCAGTTTTGTTTCTTTCCACGGACGAGATTCTGTGAGGTTTCCGGTCCGCAGAAATATCTGTCCGTGGCAGTACCCCGTCTCATTTCACTAGAGTTTGTAATATCGATGCCAGCGCAAACGACGATTGCAGGATATGGACAATATTTTACCCTGGCCCGGTTGAACACGCTTGCACGTCCCACATTAAAGCTGACCTTGTCTCGCATCATGTCGCCTTGGGAAGACGACTAAATGGGCAAGTACCCACAGCAGTTAGTCAAACATTGCTAAGGTCTAAAAAGGACGGGAAGTTGTTGGGAACAATATCCACTAACCTTCGGAAGTGACACGTCCCATAGGGAAGAAGACGACGTAGAAGAAAAAGAAGACGCGCTTTCTGATCAGGGAAAAACTAACTTAAACAGAAATGTAAGGCTTTCATCGGGTTAACAGATTTTCTACATAGAGAAAATTTAAAAAAAAAATGTACTTCATTAGCAAACGTATATAGTTGAGTCTAGTTTGATCTGTCGTTGTAATCGATGAATCTTTGGGTTGTTCGACTCAGAACGGCTTCGCGTTTTTAAAATAATCTTCACCTGGAAGATATAAATAATAAACACAATATATTTTTCTTTATATCGTGTTTGCTTTGTTTGTCCTTCGGAGTATAAGAAATTTTTCTTCCACGGCTTGAAAACATATTTTTTCATTTATTTTTCTCCGAGGCACTTTTTCGTCAGCTCTACATTTTCCATATTTTGCTACTGAAACTCGTTTTTCTATGAAAGATTCGAAAGCGATACCAATATCCGAGTTCTCACAAAAAAAGAAGTTACATAAGGTGGCTACGTAGCAAAATATTACCAAAACAAAAAAAACAACACTTTCAAAAAAGGAAATATTAATGTATACATCTTTTTAAAAATTTGCAACGTCCTACCCGACAATGGCTATTTTTCACCTGGTTACAGTTACTGAGAGACAATTTCGAAGTTCAAACCTATATTGTAACAGAAAATCCTGTGTACTAACAATCTCCAAATTGCAGTGTGTGGTTTTCCAATAAGATTTGTTACGTTGAACGATTACAGAGCAAGCACATCTCAAGCCGTACAGAGCTAACTTGGCACCGTTATACAATTGGAGCCTTATGAGAGCAATTAGATTTGAGGGACAAGTTGAACATTTCAGTGAATGTTTGATGTTATTATCCTGTAGACCACGTACCGAGCGGTCACGTCTGGCGTACGATTGCCGATAACAATCAATTCTAAAAGTCAAAAAATGTATAACGGACATAAGTGAAAGAAGACAAAGCAACAACTCCGGCCTTCGTCAATACAAAAATAGGAGATTGATGCGAAAACAGTAAAACAAAGAAAAAATACAGACCGGTTACCAATCCTCACCCTCTAATACTAAATTGCGCAAAAATCAAAATGACACTTACATATCATTTAAAAGGATATATTTACCAAAATTATACAAAAATGTCTTAAACTGCTACGTATTAATTATATTCACTAAAATCGCTATGGGATTCAACCGCGGCCTCCAAATGATTTCGAAATCTCCTGAATATTCACTTGTTTTAGTTGGTGAATGCTGCCATAATATTTGACTTCTGTTCATCTTTGGTCTGACAAGGAGTTTTGCTGGTCTCTCGCACAACTCTGCCTAACACTTAACAATCAACGAGATTTGCGGAGTAGGTAGCCATATTTAAGAGGGGATGTGTCCGCAGATATTGCTTGACAGGCATGACTGTGTTCTCTTGATTGTGCGGCATGGCACAATCCTGTTGCCAGATATGGCATCTTCCAACAGCTACCCACTTGAACCAGAGCAGCACTACCTCCTCGTGTTACTTGATGTAGGTCTACGTGTTGAGTCTTCAGCCACAAATTCTTGAGTTCTTTTCTTATCAGAACGACCGAGCTGATGTACGTTCGTAATCACAATTAGACTTATCCAACTCTTTCTGAATCCTATGCAGTGTATTCAGATTGACACCCAAACACTCTTAAATTTCCGTAGTGGAGGTTCCAGCGCGAATGTGAAGCAGTACATGTCATTTCTGGCTGTATGAATTGGTTCATGGTACTATTTTTTTTCACAGACAGTGCCTAACTAAGCCTAATATATGTGCAGTGGAACAAAATCGAAAAAGAACACGACGCGCATGCGCGAAATTAATAATATAAAATGGTTGCATTTTACCCATCCCACCCTATATATAATCGTATGTTGTTACAACATATCATCTTATATCGCTAAGTTCTGGACTAGAGAATTCACACTCTTTCAATTTAGGTTACGTAAAAAAAAAAAATCTTATTCTGAATTTAAGATATATTTCATATGGAATTACTTAATCTAAGGCAAGTAATTTATGGTTTCCCGATAGCATATTTATCAGAGGTGAAAGAAAACACGTTTTCACAGGGGTTTTGAAATATTTCCTGCTAAAAGTCAGGAATATATAATTGACATGATACTCTTAAATGTAAATAAAATATATAACGACTTGAAAGGCATAAACGGACACAAAGTATAATAGAAACTTATGGGTAATTTAATCGGCAATACGGAGAGTTTATCGATTGATAACAAAACAGTTTGTAAATTAAGATGAGAAATATCGATGAAGAAGGAAAAAAAAAACATGCATATGTGTCCAGCTAGATTTGACTCGTTCCAGACGTCGATTCGATCGATATCGGAAATAGATGGGGGAATGATTGATGTATTTAAGACTATTAAAAATAGATATGGTGTAGAGAATGAAGAAAACGAAAAGTGCGACTGAAAGGGAGAGAAATGGAAAAGAGATCAAGGAGAAAGACAATGAGTTTTATATAAAATAATATCTATAAATAATTGTTATTGGATAAAAAAAACAATGAAAACCCGACGTAGACGAAATATGGTAGGTCTTAAATATTTGAACAATCTTTACATATAAAATGAATGATTAGTCATTATTTTTCAGATATGTAGACACAAAAACTGGCACAATATTACACACACACACACACACACACACACACACACACACACATTTTATATGTATGTATATATATATATATATATATATATATATATATATAATGGTGATGGTCTCTCCCATCGATTCTAACGTATGTGGAGACGACAGCTTCAGCATTCAGTTATGTTTGTACCGTATGAAACTCAGTCCCGCTGGTGATTTCCATAAAACCTCACATATTGTACAACAGCAAGAAATTTGGGACATATCAATACGACTGATTTCAAATTTTCTGATATCTCCAGTTATTTCTGTCCACCTGAATGGGTCATTTCATGGGTTTCATCTTCCGTGTCACTTTGTCCATTGTGAAGTTACTATGCCGCCATACACACACACACATATATATATATATATAAAGAAATAATCACACATAGAATCAATCAGAAGTATTAATGCGATTATTGGCGACATCCATCGCTAGAAAGATAATATATGCATTAAAATACTGTTAATCCATAGGGCGAAGTGATCCTCGTCGATAAACTTGATGTCTGTAGTTTTCAGTTTATTTGATGTTAAAATGCGAGTATTTACGAATAGACCTCTATTCACGATCAGGCATGTTTTTTTTTTCTTATAAAATAAAAAACTTGAAGACGAAATACTTGTATGTCGACCGAAAGATGTTTTTTGAATATCTGCTATTACTGACGGTTGTGTAAGATCTCGGAACGTGCAAAGACGCAACGCTAAGTTTTTCAAAATTTTAAGTGAATTTTTTAAAAAGTATTTCTTGTGATGTGTTAAATCCACGTATTCTATTTTACAAGTGTATTCAGTTTTTATGTCATGAACTAAGTATATAGTTCAATAATATAGTGTAATATCTTAGTAGTTTTTTACAGGAATTCTTATGTACTGCGGATCGATAGTTTTTATAAACATAAAACATTAGGCAGCATATAATTTACATACTAAGAAATAATCACACATAGAATCAATCAGAAGTATTAATGCGATTATTGGCGACATCCATCTCTAGAAACATAATATATGCGTTAAAATACTGTTAATCCATAGTGCGAAGTGATCCATATATATATATATATATATATATGGTGGACTCTCCCGTCGTATGAGGAACCAACAGCCCAGACACCAGCACATATGATTTCCTTATAGGTGTGAAGGATTTGTGAAGGACAACCAGATTTTGAAGTGCTGAATACAGAGACATAAGGTCCCTAAATTACACTCTGCAGGTTTTAAATTCAGAGTTGTCATCCCCTAACCCAATTGTCACTCAAGGCTACAGAACAGTCTGCCCTACTATTTACTCATAGCTGGTGGGAGAATAGGAGAATTAACACCTTTCCCAAGGTTATTAGTACGCAAGTAAAAATAATGGATTCGACTGGAATTTGAACTCGGGTCTCCGATTCCACAATCTATGCCGCTATGAATCGTGCCTCCTGTTGTGTGTGTGTGTGTGTGTGTGTGTGTGTGTGCGCGCGTATATATATGTATTTTTTATCAGCCTCATTGAATACCATTCTCAAGGCACTGCCATCGACCTGTTCATTGTTCTTTTCTTACATGAGTTCAAGCGATTTTTGGTGGGTACAGAGTTTGTAAGGAATGTTATGATGTTTGAATGTGATCACATTCTTAACTATCATCTAGGAGATTTCTGTTTACCTTAATATGTAGATATTTTTGATAAGTCGTAAAATAAAAAGATCAAACTTTTTAAGTTTTTAAGGGCCAGAAAATTAGCTAGATAATAATGATTATTACTCAAATTTCTTTTAATTAATCCATAGGTGGGCGAGAATTGGAGGATTAATAACTTTCCAAAAGGTATCTGAGCGTAACTAAATATAACTGACCAGGCTGGAAATGAAACCCAGCTGTACGATTTTCATTTCCATGCCTATATTCTTGCACATCACATACAAGCTTACAGCAACGGGTATTCCCATATGGGCACTCATCTAGGTACTGACCAGGCTCGAAGTTGCTTAACTTCCGTGATTAAACGATAACTGATGTTGCGCGCGCACACAATATATCTATAGCAAGTGAGTGGTAGGACTGTTATTAGCAGAAATAATTCATTTATGTTTACCTTTGTTCCGCTGCAGTTTCCTTGATATTCGTTACAGTGTTGCTGAATGTTTCGGATTTTAGCCTAGTATGTGGCTGTGTTTTGAATTAGGACGTTTTGGCCTTTGATGGGATCTTAGGTTCCCCCTCCATTTCTTCTAGCTTGTCAAATCGGTTTTGGGTAGGAATATTCTCACTATGATTTTCTGGTTTTTGTTTGGCAGGTAGGTTTGAAATTTGGACCCGTCATTTGATCCAACGTGCACGAGCTTCTCTCTGGGTATTTGATAATTTAACTAGATTTGCTTGTGAGCGTTATTTTTGCATAGAATGTACCTTTCATGTAGCTTTCTACTGTTTGTCTTGCTTCTACAAATGAGGCGTTTCGTTTGAGTTTCACCTTGACTATCTGCTTTTCCCTTTTTCTATAAATCGCATGATCGTGAGTATGCTAGATGGTTTTCCTGACAGTTAACACACCTTACCTTATAGTGGCACTCTTCTTCATGTGGTCTGAATCCTTTTGGCCATATTTTCTATATGTTGGGATACTCCTGTAGCTATCCATATGATGCCTACATTTTTGGTGCTTAAATCGGCTTACTGGAGCAGGAATATATTGTTCCACTGGCTCGATATTATAAACGATTTTTATTATCTAGGAGATTTGAGGTCTGACAAAAGTAAAGATACACATGCATGTTGTGATGGCCGTTTCTTTTTTTATCGTAATTCTACGGTAATCATTGATCCTTTTGCTTCCTAAAACAGGTGTGATATCCTCAAATGTGGACAGAAGCAACTCACTTCTAATGACTCCCTTAGAAAAATTCAGTATTTCATGGGGTATGTTTTTTATTTTAATATTATGAAAGTTCTTCATATTCGTTGTACTTTCGATGTGTTTCTTACCTAATGGATAGCACCTTTTTCAATCAAGGTGAAAATTTGCCAGCGAAATCACATCTCGTGATGCGGGAACAAGAAAACTTGTGAATTCAGTACTTAATTAATTTTCAGAATAAGAGTTTGAAAGATATCAATGGTTTTATTTTTATTTTGTTTGTTCAATATTTTGATATCGAAAAAATTACTGTCCCAACCCACCTCTGAGCACAGCATTTGATCGTCTCAATGGAGCGACCTAGTCATCTTTACAGGTAAGGGCTGCACAAACCAGTATACTCGTAGACGAGTGAGACTGAGCAGCCATCAAACCATTCATTACACTTGTCAAATAAATGTACAAACTGGTAGATTTATAGTTATGTTTATGACTAGAACTTTTCGAACCGACCAAAGCCCCATCCATCGCTTTCTAATGCCTATAAATTGGATAGAGATGTTATTTTGTCCCGGTGTATATTTGGGGTATTGTATTCAATTATAAAGTACTCGATAAATTGATATAGTTATAGGCGCTTGGGCTTTGCATGTACAGACTATTGATCTAATCGGGCCTCTCCCTCTGTCTAGCCAAACTAAGGGCCAAAGTAGTTTGCTGGGTATCACAATTATTTAACCCTGACTCCTGAAGCTTTCAATCAATAGTATCTCCTACCCCTAAATTACGGGTGGCCTCACTTGATGAGAGGGGGTCTTGCTTCTCTACAGATGAGTAGTCTGTGTATTCTGAAGCCCCAAACGACAGCTAGGACAAACACAGTAAGGGGTAGATAGATAGAAGCAAATTGTCCTAAAAATTGACAGCACAAAACGGACGACAAAATGTAGTATGGAAAATTAGGTGAGACAGGAGAAAATGAGCCTTATACAGAAAATCTGAGTGAATTCGAAGTGAAATTGAATGAGTGTAAAAAAGAAAAAAAAATAATGAATCGATCGGTAAGTTTGCGGATGAATAAAAATTTTAACAAAATAAAATCAAGATGGGGAAAAAATATAACGGATTTACGACCTTTTTGTTTCTACTCCAGTAGGAAAGAAGCTATTTTCATAGAAAATAAAATCCAAGTAAAAAAATAAATCCTAGAAAAAAGAGAAAAAAAATACCAAAGGAAAATAAAATGAAATAATATGACGTTTCATAATTTTCTTTTAATGGAAATATAGAAATAGTACTGGGCAAAAAAAAAATAATATATATATATCTTTCAAATATTCTAATATAGAAATTCCTGTTTTAGAAAACATTCTTATTTCTACTTTTGGTAAAATAATGTTCAAACAAGAAGCCGTAAACTTCCGACTTCAGTTTTCATATTCTTGGGAATTATATTTTGATATCCAGTTACAAATGACCTTTCCGATGTTGTGAATTTAAACACATTATAAATACTCACTCATTTCTCCGCTATACACAGGGAGCTTTCAGATGGCACATTGACAAATGAATATTCTAATTTCATATTCTAATTGCTATTTATTCTTAAATTTATATACATCCGTATCGAGGTTGCAATACGGCATTTGTTTTCTGATTGTATTCATATAATTCTTAATGGATGCTGGGTGTTTCAACCAAACGGATACAGAGATGATAAACCTTTGTACTTGTAATATCTCAGCACATTAAGAAGAGTTTTATACAGAAATCGCTTCCGTTTGCCACTGTCCCCCTTTCGTGAGTAAGATGTTTATACCTAATTTTAAAATAGTTCAGAGAAATTCCATTTACTAGTAAAACGGTGAAGATTTTCTTGGAATGACTGTATATGTCTATATTTCTGAGAGTTCCTTTCAATATACGAAACGGATGAATGATGATGCAAGCTGACACATTGAGAAGTTGAAGCCTGGTGTAATATTTTCTGTTTGATTTATGCGATTAATGGAGAGATATTTGGTTAAGAGCTTTGGCAAGGAAGATAAATATTTTGAGAACTTAATATTTGCTTTGTAAAATGAATTGTTTTCGGAAAAGGACTTGGAATAATATAAGATAAGTAATGTTTCATAAATAAGTTCGGCTATCATATAAAACAGTTTTTGGAACTGACAATTTATGAATCTCGGAGTAATATGACGTCAATATATTCCTCTTCAAAAAGAATTTGATTTTGCAACACTTGTAAATCCCTATTTCTCAAAGTATTCCCTCCTTATTTTAATTCGGTAAACTCTTTCAGAAATATCTGTTCAAACATTTTCTTCTATCAATGATGAAATGTCATCACAAGAAGAGCCGATAATGGTATAATAGAATTAGTGCCAAAAGCAAATGTTTTTGAAAAGAAACATCAATCATTAGAATAGAAAACAATAACAGCTGAATTGAGAAATCTTAATTCCGCAAAATACTTTTCAATAAGAGTTGAATTGAGAAATCTTAATTCCTAAAAATACTTTTAAAAAAAGATATTTCAACCGACGCTAACACAAACCTTCCAAGCAATGAATTCTGAATGTTTCTTTTATTGTAACGGTTATTTTTACTATATGATACCATGAAAAATGTTTTTCTATACTGACTGATTAGTCTTTTACAATTTATCAAATCCTTGCAGATTGTTTAAAGTCAGAAAACACTTTCAGATTTTAAGAAATTTTTTTCGATAATAATTGTTTATCGATACATGTATTACTAATTAACCAATAGCTGGAAAGAAAAGGTGTGGATGCATAACTTTCCCAAGATTATTTGCGTGTCAATAAAAATGGTGAACCCAACAGGAATTGGAATTCGGTTCTCTGATTAATAATCCGATCGATTATTCATGACACAACCCAGACATCCAAGATTATAACAGTTGGTATTCTCAAGAGTTCACCCATCGAGTTACTGACCAGGCTTCAACACGATGGGGCCGTGATCCCCTAAAATATTTTAGATACTTTTCATCCAATCGGGCAGTAGTTTTTGCTTCGTCATTATATGAAAATTGTCGACTGTTAATTTTGTTTTCAATTTCGGAAGCATGCCCAATAGGATAATGCGAAATTTGAGTCGTATGCGTAAAAAGATTTTCTTGAAGTCTTTTGTCGACATTTGTGCTGTGAATGTGGCTTTCTCTTTCCGTTTAGTCGGGTTTGATCTTTCTCTTGATTCACAACAACCTATTCGAAAATGACTATCACTCCTTCTGATGGGGAAATCTGCGCAAATGACTTATGATTTAACTTTAAATATATGTGCGCCACTTTCCCTCATGAAAACAGATTTGAATTCCATTCCTCTTAATTAGCCCGTGACACGATATCACATTCAATATTTTGCTTCAAGTTTCAAAATATAAAACAAAAGATTTATCTCCACTCCGATGATATTTCTTCGAGAACACTTGAAAAATCATTATAAACTTAGTCTTTCATGTAATGTGACAATTATCACCTCACCCAGCTATAGAAATTTTATATAATATGCTGCCAACATTTTTGACAAGGTGGACGTTTGACGGAATGCACGAAGTAAGATTTTTTTATGTACTTCAAATTCCAGAAAATGCTGTTCCATTCATTTTCGGGGTAATGCCTTTGGGAAAATATGAACCTCTTTTCCCCCAATTTGAAAGTAAGTAGAAGTGAGAGAAAAGCCTCTTTAGCTTTTTTTCCCAGTTTTGTAGACGTTTAACACTGAATTCAATAGCGTTTACTCGTAAAACACTACTTGCTACCACCTGTTTCGGTAAAAGCTGTGGCCCTGTCTTTTCATGGTGGAATCTACGAGCTTAATCCACCTATTTCTTACCAATGTCTCGGTTATGAATAATGTTTCTTAAAAGGTTTCATTGAATCCCGTCATCTACTATTCTTTAAATTGGCATCTCCCTTAAAGAGGCCGAACTGATATTTGCTCAATCACTTTGCCTCAACTGCAGGATGTAGCACGTTGAATCTACTGACGAACTATAATCCTATTCGCATATATAGAACAATTGCTTACGTAATTCTGTTTTTGGAATGACACGTAAATTTCTTGTGACAGTAGTCCTCACTAACCGATATTTTAAAGGTAGCAGGACGTCCCCAAGCGAAGTGTCACTATAGT